TTTGGTTTTTCTCCGGTACCAGGAACTGAACTCACGACCTTGCGCTTGCCAGGCAGGCACTTTTGCCGCTGAGCTAAATCCCCAGCCCCTGTCTTCTTTTTTGTTGGCCTGTAGGACCTTATGAAATATATGCCCTTTGAATATTGATAATCTAGCTGCTATTGTGTGTGAGAGGGATAGCTATATCTGATTCAAATTGTGTTAATTTTTAGACTTCTAGAAAACCTTAATAGCTCTTCAGGTTCAAAGATTCCTGGAAAAAACAGACAACACCAGTTGATGAGAGTCTCCTGTGCAGACTGAAAAAGAACTAGAATAGCAATCAGGTCCCTACGATGATGCCCTCGGCCATCTTTATTTCCTCTTCACTTCATTCAGCAAATAGAAAGTACAACTCTGACTCCCGTGTGACACCAGTCCAAGGAACCTGGGCTGGTTCCTTCAGCTGCCCTTTTATGGCCCTAATGCTATTGTCTGTTTCTGCCCCTCTGTTTTTTGGTTTTTTTGTTTGTTTGTTTGTTTTTCTTCTGGTACCAGGAATTGAACTCACAACCTTGCGCTTGCCAGGCAGGTGCTGTGCCGCTGAGCTAAATCCCCACCCCCACTGCCCCTGTTTTTAAATTCAGCTTCCAGCAGATTCTTTTATGCACTGACCTCCATTGCTAACCTAGGCCACTCCTGCCACAGCAGAAGGGCTGGGTCACTGTCCTCTTAGTGAAGCCAGCTTTTTGCCAAGGGCTTATTTTTCCAAAGATAAATTCACACTTCTGCTCCCCTTCCTGTTCCTCATTTAAACAAAAAGCAGATTGAAATAATTTCCTGGTAGTTGCTCATATTTTCCCTCAAAATAGGAAGATGATTATGTATTTTAACTAACAGAGGCTTTATTTTCAGATTTTTCTTATGCAGGGAAAATGAAATAAACAGAGACAATGATTGTATCAACCATGTCTTAAGTGAGCTAATTCATGCTGTCATTAAGAATCCATAGCTGCTGAGCAGCAAAACCATACTGAGGATATTCCTGGTCTTAATTCTTGGTCTTTGTTCTTAGTAGTCTCAGCTTTAATTTATCTTGTCCTTCGTACTGTCTCCGTCTATTCAGGCCACAATAACACAATATCATAAGCCAAATGTCTTATAAACAAAAGACATCTGTTTTCAGTTGTGAAGTTTGGGAAGGCCAAGATTGAGAGGCTAGTAGATTCGGTGTCTGGTGAGGGCTGCTTCCTGGTTCATACACGGCTTCCTGCAACTGTATTTTTACATGGTGGAAGGGACAAGGGGCTCTCGGGAGTCTATAAAGAGCATTAATCCCATTCATGAGGGCTCGGCACTCATAACCTATTCACATCCCAAAGAGCACTCATGCTAGCATGGTCATCTTGGAGATTAGGATTTCACTATAATGAATTTTAGAGGGAGCAGGTATTCAGTTCATTGCAGCTACCTATTCTACAGCTTTGAGTGCCCCTCGCTCAAGCCCTGAAAGACGCTTCTTCCCGCTGCTCCTTTACAGAAATCAATTTCCCTTCATGAAGCTCAGAACTAGTTTCCCTTGCTTTAAGTCTTGGGCTTAACTGTCACCTCCTCAGCAAAGTTTTCTCTCACTGCCCTCTTGGAATCTGATACTGCCATATTATCATTTTTGTATTATAGCACTGTGATTTTTCCCTGTGCTACATGTATTGCATGGGTATAGTTTGAATTATATGCCTGTACTTAATTATCTGCTTTCTTCACTGCTCTTCCAGTCAGCTTGCTTTCAGTTAATATGTGGGGATTGAATGAATAAGATGAAAAGCACTACTGGGAAGATTTCCAGGTAGACTGAATATTTGTGTCCCCACATTCATGTTGAAATTTCCACAAGGTGACAGTATGGGGAGGAGGTACCTTGGGGAGGTACTTAGGTCAGGGAAGTGCAGCCTCCTGAAAGAGATTCTTACTTTTACCAAAGAGGCCCAAGGGAGTTCCCTGGCTTCTTCTGCCAGGTGAGGATATGGCCAAAAGGGACAATCTTTGAAGCAGGAAGCCTCCACCAGAGGAAATCTGACGGTGTCTCAGCCTTGAAACTCACAGCTTCCAGAGCTGGGAGCAGTCAATTTCCGCTGCTTATCGATTACTCAGTCCAAGCTGTTTTGTTATAGAAACTTGAGCACACTATGACAGTTCAAGTCTCCCTTTTGCTTTATTTCCAGTTGTGCCACATTCTTGTAGCGTCACCTCTTCCTTGAGTTGTCGGTGACCACCAGCCTAGCTGAGGCCCCTGCGCCCCGGCTTCACGCTAAACCTCTTGGTGGCTTTCCCTCTTCTCTCCAACCCCCAACTCCGGTGCTCCAGCACTCGGCGGTCTCCCTAAATTACCACCTTCATCCTGCGTCCACGCTAACAGCTGTACATCAAGCCGTGACCTGTGCGTCCAAGGCCCGAGCGTGCCCACTCCAGCCCGCCTCGGGGACTCAGCTCGTTCCTCCTCTTTCTTCCCAAGCTCTGGTCTTCCCCTGCTGCTGCCCTTGGGTCCACAGCAAGAGACGCTGGGAATGGGAAACATCCACCAGCCTATGAAGACACAGCACGGAGTGCAAACTTGCTCTTGAAGAATTCTTACAGCGATTATAGGTGAAAATGATACAACCCTGACACACTGGATTAAATACAGTTACTACTAACATCAATTTCACTCCTTTCCCCCCTTTCTAACCTACTAGAAAACTCAGAATTACCTTTGTGGCTCACATCACATACTTACTAGGCAGCGTTCCTTTCTACCCCGGTCTGCTCGTCATGATGCCTCCCTGCGTTCTTCCCCTTTCACGAAGGACATGCTATGCTATTTCCATAATGAAAGACCATCGCGGAGGTCTCGCCCTTAGCGCGGTGACAGTGTACGCAGGAACACTCCCCCTGGGTGTTGAGGGGAATCACAGAAGCACAAACGGCCTTGCTGGAGCACCAGGCCAGCAAAAGGCTCTTTGATGCTGGGTCCACACCCACTGGGCACACTATCAGTGCAGGAGACTAAGCCCGCTTCTCCTGTGGTCCACTCCAGGGCTGCACGTTGGTCCCAGGGAGCTGAAGATAACTCTGAGGCCGCTACACGATCCAGGGGCTCTTAACTGGCCCATTGTTTGTCAAGGTCACCAGATAGCTAATGAAAGACAGCAGAGCGGAGGCAGCCCAGCCTCTCCCAGAGTTCCTTCTGAAGGCGTTGTGAAGCAAGGCTTCTAATGCTACTGCTCTTTAGGTCTGGTGATTCCCCGTTATTTGGAAAAATAAGAACAACTCTGAAACAGTTATAACATAGATGGAAATGTGCAATATAGTAAGGAGTAGGTACACCTTGCAGAAAGTTGTAATGATTTAAAGTTACACGTAAAAACCACAAGGGGCTTGTAGCTAGATTTCAGACAGCGTCCCTCAAGTCCAAGTTATCTTTTTTTTGTAGTACTGGGGACTGAACCCAGCTTTTGCACTAAGCTATATCCCTAGCCCTTGTTTTGTTCTTCTCCTTTATTTTTTGTCTTTTAATGTTGAGACGGGGTTTCACTAAGCCACCAAGTTGTCCAGGCTCCCTGTGTCTCAGTCTTCCAGAGTCCTGGGATTATAGGCGTGCGCTACCATGCCAGGCTCAAAGTCCAACTCTTGGTTTTGTTTTTTGTTTTTTTTTTCTGAGACAGGGTCTCGCTATGCAGTTCAGGCTGGCCTTGAGCTCACTATGTAGCCCAGGCTGGCCTCGAACTCAAGGGGATCTGCCTGCCTCAGCTTCCCAACTGCTAGGATTACAGGCATGCACCATCATGCCAGGCCAATGTCCAAGTTATCTTAAAAAGAAATGTTTTTCTTCTTTCTAAAAGAAAATCACAAACATTAACAATCACTGGAATACTATCAAACTGGTGCTATTTCCATTCTCGCTGAAATTCTTTGTATCTCGTTCATCTATGAATTAGCATTTTTAAACTTCATTTTCCATGGTGTAGGATCTCATAGCAATATTTTTTATAGGTGACAAACTTTTTATAGGCTCAGTTGCACTAGATGATCTGCTAAGTGAAACTGGTTTTATTTTTATCTTGAGTGTTCCTCTTATCCTCTGTATTTATTTGGTTATATTACAAGTCCCCAAAGTTAAGACTGTCAACAGTTAGCCTGCTAATTGAGATGCCAGCAATCTGAGTCACCAGCCGGAGATGACCTGCAGGGAGGAAAGATGCAAGCACAGCCCACAGGGCGTCCATGAAACCCGCTTCTGGAATATGCATAACCGCCCACCTGCACTCGCTCCTTACGCGGCTTCAGCTCATCTTAAACATGTTCAGGTTTAAACATCCCAGGGAGGCACCGGGCTGATGATGCCGGTAACGATGATGATGATTCTGTCTCCGGAGAAGCAGCAACCAACAGAGTCCTTGCTGTGAGTCAGGCACGAGCAAAGGATTCTGCGTGTTACCTTTTCTAACCTTCAACAGTGTTGAGTCATTCTTGGTCACCATGTCCCCTGGGCCTCCCCTTGGGCTCCTGGGCTGCTAGGAACAATGACTGTTGTCTTCATCACTAGCCAGTGAGGGAGCAGGACCGGAAGTGCCCAGTGAGGCATCAAAGACCATGACTGACAGTTTCCTGAGTGAAGACAGGCGGGACAGTGTAAGATGCCAAAACCAAGTTCACCTTCACTCTGCTCTGTTCTTCTGACCAGCTCAGAAATGACAATGTGTTATATGATGTAGGAAATTAATCAAGCGAAGCTGCCACCTCCCCAAGCCACTACTGTTTGCTTTTCTGTCAGAAATAAAAGGGGCAAACTGTCCTAAAAATACAAGCATGCAGGATTTTAGATGTTTAACTTTCAGCTTTCTGTTAGAAGAGAAAACTTGAGTAACCAGATAAGTATGACTAATTTTTTCCTTTTTAAGCCTGAGACCACAAAATGCCAGAGTTCAGAAGAACCCATCTGGGTAGGATGTGGGCGTGCTAGTGGGAAGCCACACCTAGCAACCAGAAATTTATTATGACTCCAGCCTGTTTATTTTTAGTGAGAATACAGTCCATGTTGAGGAAAGAATATAAACTCACATAACAATATATTTCTGGAGTAGTTTCACAGCCTTGGCTTTGATTGGATTAGCATCACTAATTTGCAAGCATCCTACTCTTCCTCATTCTTTTTATTATATACATATAGTGCCAAAGACAGTAAACAAAACAGGGAGAATCCTAAACCTCAATGTTAGTCAACAACTGAAACTTCTGTGTCAATTTCTTTGAAATAAGGGAAAATACAAAGAAAATCTCCTTAGTGATAACTTAGCCACTTCCTCTCGCCGTAAATTCCAACTCATCTTTCCACAAATGCATATATTATTCTTTGCCATTGTCCCAATGGTTCCTAACCAGTGGGCACTTTTTGCAGCTTGTTTGCTGATGTCTGCAGATCTTTTTGGTTCTCCAACTGGGTGGGGGTCCACAGGCATCTAGTAGGGAGAGGCGAGGGTGCTGCTGAACACCCGCAGTGCTCAGGACACCCCACACCTGCAAGGTGGTCGTCTAAAACTGACTCTGGAATTTGCGACTCTGAGCAGAATATTCCAGAGCATGAAGCCACAGGCCTGCCAAAAATTAACAGCAATTTCCAGAAACTTAAAATTCATGGAAATAATTTGTAGTCTGTGGACCCACCCTAGTGAAAGGACAACTGCTAACAAAAAATGCTAAAGCTGGGGCTGGGGATTTAGCTCAGTGGCAAAGCGCCTGCCTGGCAAGCACAAGATTGTGAGTTGGGTGCCGGTACCGGAGAAAAACCAAAAAAAAAA